CTCTGTCTCTGGTGAATCCTCTCACCCTCCGCATCTCTGGCCTGCACCCCAGTTCCATATGAATAAATAAATCTTTAAAAAAAAAATGAAAGAGATCATTTAAATCAAATTGTACAGTCAGGATTCTGTCCAAGTGTAATATTAATTACAAGATAGATGCAAACCTGAAAAAGTGCTTCTGAGGATATAGCTATTTGTGACAGCTAAATATTAAATGTATGTTTAATGGTTAAGTCTATTTAAAACACAATTTTATTGTGAAATAAACTCGGTACTACAGCTGGATGTCTAAACCTTAATTATAGCAATACTTAAGAGTCTTATTTGAGGGGGGAAAAAGGACTCTATCAAACATTCATTTCAAAAAACTTACCAAGTGCCAAGTAATGTGTCTGGCATGTATCAGCACTCAGTGATCCCACAATGAGCAGAGCCGGCAGATAGACACGCTCCCTCTCCCACATAGAAGCAACTGTGAGGATTTTCCCAAAATGTTTCTTTCTAATTTCAAGACCAAATCCCCACTGGGAGAAGTCACCTTTTGAGATTTTCAAACCCAAAGACCAGTGGACACAATCTGTCCAGTGCTCTAACCAAACAACAGCCACAACTGACTTGCTCTGTCTAGAGCGGCCAGGGGGGCCACCGGCCCAGCCCAGCCCAGCAGACTCAAGCTCAGGCGCACGGCTCCCAGCCCTCACGTCTCATGCTCACAGGTGAAAGGCAGCACGCAGCTGCCTTCTGGGATATGCCTGTGGGCACTCTGCTACATGGAGTTCTGCTTGTGGTGTTTCCTTGCAAACCACTCATCCTTCTGGACAAGATGGAAAGCAATGCCCCCAGGACCTGGGAGACCAAGGTTAAGGACTGAGCTTGTGCCTGTCTGCTCACAAAGTCCCAATGTTCCTTCCCGAGTAAACAAGGAACAAAACATTGAAAGAAGTATTACCTCAGAGCTTTGTGAACAAAATCTATGGTAATAAATTTAGGGTAAAATGTGAGATGCTTAGTCACCTATTTTTAGGATAAAGTGGTAAAATCACATTTTCTAGGGTGATGGTTTGAATAGGGTGAAATCGATCAGTAGTTGAGTGAAATCGATCAGTAATTATCTACTCCAGGTCAACTATCTGTACCTAAATGACCTGTCTGCTGACCTGCTAACCATCACTGAGGGTATCTGTCCTTAGTACTTTTTTTTTAAAGATTTATTTATTTATGCGTACAGAACTGGGTACATGTCAGAGGTGTGGGGGGGTGAGAGGATTCCCCAGAGACAGGGTGGGGAGCAGAACAGGCAGATGGACTGAAATACACTGCTGAGGAGCAGCGCGCGGATCAGGAGAGGTCTGCCGGGCCATGTGGGTCGGCTCCCTGGCTGGAGATTGAACTCGTGCTACAGTGCCTTTGGAGAGCTTCATAATGCGGTCCTTTAACCTGTTGCGCCACCAGGGAGAGCCCCGTCCTTAGTTCTTAACTCATCCTGGGTTATGAGTATTGGAGGAACAGCACTAGGACTAAAGGAAGCAGGTTTTCACACAGGCCAAAAAAAATGATTAAATTAACTCCACCTCAGTGGGGAATGGGATCAAAAACGGGGGGGGGGGGGGAGGGAAATGCACGGGATTATGGTGATGGCACATGGGTGACTTGGTGATGGGAAACCCGCGGGGATTACAATTGAGATGGAAAAAAAATGTACAAAATGATGTAAAAATAAACTTTTGTAATAAAAAAAAAAAAAAAGAACCCTCGCAGGCAAGGCCTGAAAATCTGCCAGGATACCCTCTGTTATAAAAGTAACTAAAGTCACAATTTCTATGTGGAACCATTAAAATTTAATATTAATTTCACACCAAAAAAAAAAAAATTAACTCCACCTCCCAGAAAGAACAGCCCCTGTCATGACAATTTAGCAGTATCAAAAAGAACAGCTGACCTACTAAATCACTTTAAAGCGAACAGGCATGATTAACTTCAACCCTTCAAGCATGCACTTGAAATTCTGACTGCAGTCCCAAGCCAGGTTTTCGTGGGAAGGTGTCAAAAGTCCTGAGGCAAGGTGGCTAGAAGTTGGGGCAGGATGTGCAATGACACACCCTCTTAGAGAGGTCTCCTCTCTCTAAGTCAGAAGGTCGGTGGCTCTTCTTGATCTTTATAGAAAATAATGACTTGTCATTTTAACGTGGTCTACTGTGTGAGCTGCTGAGGAACATGACCTCCTCAGGACAACCAGCAGCACTAGAGAGCTTCCAACTGGGTGCCCCCACCTCTCCATTTGGTCCTGGGAGGCTTGAACAGCAAGGCCTCTGCTGTGAATACAGAACGTCACTGACCCCTTGTGTCTGAGGCCCTGTGAGAGTTCTGTTCCCTCCACACTGGTGTAGTGTGGACAGGAAGAGGGATTTCAAAGAGTCAAGATGCCAAAAGGCCATAGTAAAGGGGAGTATCTATGAAGAGTCACATTTTTAACCTGCTGTCTGCGACTTAATGAAAATAATAAATACCAGTTTATCCGATTTCTAAATTCTTTCTATGCTAGGGCCAGGCAGACTGGAAGCAATTACCGCTTGTCCATGGGGGTCTGTGGGAACACTGACAGTTTTAATTTACATATTAATGCTGGAAAACATTTTGAGAGGCAAAGACAAGCATTCTTTGGTCTTAGTAATGAATAGAATAGGGAAAAAATGGGCAGGAAAGTGGTTGAAAAGCTCTAGGCAAAATGGTCTGGGTTTATTTTTTCTGAAATGATTTCAAACTATATCCATCACTCACTGTAATAAGATAGGTTTCAATGGTGACCAGTCCCTGGCCGCCTGGCCGAGGGTCTTCAACAAAAGGCCTAGCAATCAAATCTAACAATCCATCCATCCCAGCTCTAATTCTTCCCTGGGAAGAAACTACCACTTAGTTTCTTCCTCGCCACCCACCTAGAATCCTCATCTTACCACTCACAGGATAAAAACAAAGCAGTGAAACAGAGGAATTGTTCAAAATTATCAGATTTCATTAAATTGCTCAGTCGGACACTTGCTCACTAGAATTCTGCTTCAACCCCAGTTCTTTGGAAATGGCAGGAATTCTTTTCACTCAAATATTAGCTTGACCCTGGGTGTCACAAAGTTGAGCTGCCTGAGCATCAGTTATTGCAGCCTGAGACCTCCCAAGAGGTCTTAAAAAAAAAGGAAGCCAAGATTAAATATTAAATATAACCAAAAATGAAAAGGAAACACAGACCGAAAGTCATTTAGTAACTAGTTGCATAGAATGTATTCACTTTTCACAATTTTTCTGCATTAAACATAAAACTTATGAAATAAACCATAGTGAACGGTGCTTGAAAGAGTTGTTAAATGCTTGATTAGCTCCAATGCAAAACTTCCTTCAGCATTCAGGGGTGCAGGTGCAGAGCAGTCCCATGTGGTGAGGAGCCCCTACCTACCGCCACTGACTGGAGAGGAAAATGAGGCTCACAGAGATTAAGTAACTGACGAAAGATCGCCTCTGATGAGGGACAGTGTTGTGTTAGGTGCTGCAGACTTGGTCGCTTTTAAATAAAGACTAATTTAAAGTTGAGGACTAGTCATTATTTGTAAAATCAGTGGGACCTTAAGTCATCAATGGCGAAATATTTCATAGCTGTTGGTCTCACAGAAAGTTTGAAGGGAAAGCGAAACACGGACTCCAGATTCATATAGGCCCTTTCCCATGTGGGCTATTCCTAATTTTCCTCACTGCACTGGAGAAAGCTAAAACAACAACAAAGGCCGCAGCAGTTCCACTTCTAGGTACACACCTGAAAGAACTGGAAACAGGCACTCAGACCAACCCTGGCACACAAATGTCCTTAGCGGCACTGTTCACAGTCGCTGAACAGGAGGGAAACCCAGGAGACGCGCGGACACACACACAGTGGCGGCCGCACTGGGATTATTATCCAGCCGTTCCCAGTACTGACACGTGCTACAGAGGGGGCTGACCTCAAAGACACCGTGCCAAGTGAAAGGGTCGCCGCCAAAGGCCACCAGCACACGAGTCCACCTGCATGACATCCAGAAGAGGAGACTCCAGACAGAAAGTGAGGCCAGTGGCTGCTGCAGGGGAAGCGAGATGGGCAGTGACTGCCCAGAGGCTGCGGGGCTCTCTTAGGAGTGAACATGTTTTACAACTGGATAGTGGTAGTGGTGGCACAACACTGAGAAAGTGGTAAGTACCACTTTAAAGTGGTAAATTTTCTATGCATTTTTTCAACTGAACAAAAACCGCCATGAAATAACAAAATGACAATTGACCGTAAAGCCCGAGATGAACTCCACGTAACATACTTTGTTTGGTTTATTACAGTTTCAGCATGAGCTCTGCCCATCATTAACCCACACAGAAGCCATCCCCGCAGAGTTCCAAGTAAGGCATCGGTGCAGCAGAGGCCAACTGCGCCCAGCTGGCAGAGCACCTGGTACTTTACAGCACACACGAAGCTTCCGCTTTGGATTTGTACAAAATGCAAAGGAAGAAGCATGGAAACTACGTGAAAGGAAATAGAGAGGCCTGAGCCTGGGGAATGAGCATGCCCACGGGCAAATCCAGCTTCTGGCGCACAGGGGAACCCGCTGCTCCTTGAGACTTACTCTGTGGTTCTCCAAAAGCTGCAGAGTAAGTAGTAGCTTAGCTTCACCGACTCCTGGTTTCCGCAGAGGTCACACACAGGAGGGCGTCTAGCTGCCAACTGCAATTGCTTCCGGGCGAAACAACACAGGAGGTTAAGTCACTTCTGGAGCTGCTCAACAGGGCTCCATTGTTCCCAGCTCAGCCTTCTGCAGCACAATGGGCCCCATTCACAGGGAGACCTTAGGCCAGGGCTGGGGCATGGTCCCTCATGGCAACTTTTTGCTGGGACACTGAGTTTTCATAAACATGGACTTCCACAAACATGTAAAAACTTTGTTTGTTAAACAGCACAGAATAAAGAAATAAAGTTCAATGGACGATGAACTGAGCGGGCCACCTGAGTCTTGGCCCTCGTGCGGACTCTCAGGTTACTTTAAACAAGTCCCTGGCTTTCTCTGAGCCTGTTTGCCTGTCTGTAAGCTGAAACTATGCCTATGATGCCTTAGAGCCCTAAAACACGGTGAACACAGGAGGTCTGCTGTGGTGCTGCACTGCTCACTCGGAAGGTGGGGTAGGTTATAAACAGAAGAATCCTTAGTTGGTATCTTTTCATATAGTACCAGTGCTGAAGAACTAGGAGCATTAATTTTAAAAAAGCTGAGAAACTGTTTTCTGTTCTCTCTTAAACAAGTCACAGTAAGGGTTGGTGGGCGCCTTCCCCCAGGACACTCGAGGACCCCCAGCGCGGTGGGGTGCGGGAGCAGAGCCCAGGCAGTCGTGGCTATCTTAGATTAGTTTGCACTTCTAGACCCTCTTGCTTTCTTTCCAATGACTCAAAGTCCCCAGAAGAAAAACACCATTTACAACAAAAATGTTATCAAAGTCCCAAGCTTCCACACCGTATCATTTTTTTGTTTTTTCGACCTCAAAACTGGCCAAAGCAAGAATTTTGTCTCCAGAGCCTAAGGAGAAAGACACATGATAAACAAAAAGGTCATGTGAAATGTATATGCAGGGGGAAGTATCGATCACAGAAATACTGAAACAGAAAACAAAATGAGATGCTGTCATCAGTGCATCACCCCCACACCCGCTTGCCACCTCCCCAACACCTTCGCATGCACAAACAGCTCAGTCACACAGGAGGACTTGTTAGTGATCCTAGTTTATAATGCAATAGAAAATGTAAAATTCTATTTCACTTCATACTTAAAAGTTACAGCTAGATAGTAAACATTTTTTTAAACACTGCCATTGTATTTATTTATTAAAAATTATGGGGATATAAGACCAATAAAAGGAATTTATGAAGAAAAGCAATTCTGACTTTACCTCTAAACTCAAGAAAGCTTGTCATGCTATCTCACCCATGCTGTCTACCAACCCGGTAACACAGGTCAGGCTTTCAGAAGTTCAAGGGCACTCACCGAGATCTGTAGAGACCTTCTCAAACTGGCTGAGGATAGCACCTGCATTTGCTGACAAGAAGGCCTCATCGTCCGCAGTCAGCTAAACGAAACAAGACAAAGCCCAGCCACGTGGGCTCAGCTGCTCCGGGAGCCACACTTAAGATTACCTCAGGATCACAAACTTGATCACAGATCAAGAAGTTCTGTACAAAACACGTTGTGCATTTTCTTTATATTTATAAAACTAAACACTGGTACCTTCTCTCCAAGTTTCCTGAGAGCTGTTAGTATCTCCACTTTCTGTTGAGTATACAGGTCTCTTTCCAGCTTCCCCACCATGAGATCTCTGTCCATCTATAACAATGAATATGAAACATATGGTATGCAAGTTACAAACACCCTGTGGGGAAATTCAGCTTTTCAGACCTGCTGCTGGGAAAACAGATCCTCTAGCAGGTCAATATTATGACCAACTAGTGATACATAAACCATTCAAGACAAACGTGGTAGAAACATTACTGTAAGTTCTAATAATCTTAATGCTATCATAATCATCATCTTGTACATGCTACTGAGGAGTTAGGTTAACAGCTTCCTTTGGAGAGGCCCTATCCTGTACGAATGTTAGTTAGTATCACCTTTAACACCAGAAATACAATAGTCTATATTTTGCACTGGTATTATTCAAAGTGTTTAGACTTGTTACATGTTAAGCATAATGTGGTTTTACACATATTACTTCATTTAACCCTCTCAACTACCGTAAGAGGTAGGAACTATAATTATAATTTTTACAGATGGAGAAACGGAGGCACAAAAGGCTGAACAAAATAACTTGCCCAAGGTCAAGAGGTACAAATCCAGTCTACCTGACCCATGTCTTTGTTCTTAACCACTAAGCTACTGAATCAACAGTGGCTGTAAGCAACGTGTTAATGACTTAATTGGATCCCCAAGCTGCAGACAGATGTCCTGAAGTATCAGGTTTGTGAAGCTGTTTGAAATCCTTGGATGAGAAAGGACATGGACGCAGACAGCAGTGCATTCCAGATGGGACTGCTGCTCAAGGCCAAGGATCCCGAAGGAAACGACGGAGCCGGCAAGCAGTTTAAACTGCCATGTCTGTCACGAACCATCACTATGCCAAGACGACTTTTGTTGTGCTCGCTTCAGCAGCACATACACTAAAACTGGAACGATATGGAGACAGCTTTCATCAAGCAACTGCAGACTGCGGCTCTAAAATCAACAGGCCACTTTTATGTTAACAAGACTGCTTTCTAGTCTCGGTCACAGTAAGCCGAGCTCGCCTTCCATGCTCATGCGTAGCACCTCCCACATAAACACCCCCAAATGCACACTTGTTACCACTGAAGACCTGGCTCTGGCACAGCACAATTCCCACAGCTTACACTACCACTTACTTACGGTGTTGGGCTTCTCAACCAACCACCTTCGAAACGTCATAATGAGCAAATTCAGAGGTTGGGAAAACAAACACACAGAAGTCAGATCTACTGGAAGAAACTTCACCTCTGCTAGCCTTGTCCGGAGCTGACCCGGTTGTTTCTTGGCAAACAATCTGATGACCTCTGGGGTTTTAAAGGCCTGGCTGATAGCTGCCTGGATCGCCTAGAAACCCAAGAACATCAAAGCTAATCAAAATATTCCAAAGAATCAGACACTGTAATAACTGACTGATGGGTCTTCAATTTTTTTTTTTTTTTCAGATTTATTTGTGCATTCAAAAGCTGAGGTACAGACCAGGAGAGGATTCACCAGACAGAGAACAGGGAGCAGAACAGGCAGTTCCACTACCACTGCTGAGGGGCCCTGTGGGCCGCTCCCTGGCCGGGGCTGAGCGCACGCTACAGCGGCTCTGATATCTTGACAGAGCTGGGAGCGCCGTCAGGGAGACCCCAGGTCTTCAGTCATTAATAGGTCTTCTTGACCCATCAAATACTGTTAACAATTTTAGTTCCTATTTGCCATTTTGACCACACAGCTAAATAAGAATCAGAAGCACATACATTTTCATCCATTAACTGGACATCTAGAGATTAAACCCCCAAAAGGATACATTTGCTAGCTTAAATATACTTACAAAAATAAAATAAGCTTTATAGGCAAGATAATTAACTTCTGCTTACCAGTTGCATTCCACTTAATTCATCTACCAAAGTCATATTTCCAGACATAATTTTCTTTAGTGAATCATTAAATTCACTGAGTTGCTCCAAAGTTTCCTTTTTGGTCTCTTCATATTCATCTGCATCAAGTTCCTCTCTGAAATGTAACAGACATTATAAGAGGGGGGAAAAAAAGAGCTCCAAGTGCAAAAAGCAACCTTAGTATTTGCACATTAAGAATTCAGACACAAATGTACAAGAAGAACCTTGTGGAGAAAAGGCAGAAATGTCAGAGTGCGCAGAACGAGGGGTTTGTTCAGGTATGAGCAGCACGGGCAGCAGCACTGGCTTTTTCCTGCAACATAGTTACTTGGATGGTTAAACATTTTTCTTGTACCTAGATCAGGTACACAGAACAAACCACATAGTAACTTTTAAGCAATCCATGAGTCGGTGGTACAATCCGGGCAGAAAGTGGTGAAGGCTCTGCTTCTCCACCTGTGAGCTGCGCCAACGGCAGAACCTGCGTCACAGGGTGTTCAGAGCACCGAAGGAGAGAAGGGGGTGCTCAGCGTGTGACACAGAGCCAACAAATAACGGCTGCTACCACCGTGTCATCATCCATAAGAAAATACAGTAAAATATAGTGTCTGTCCTCAGCTCCCTGGCTGGGGATCAAACTCAGGCCACAGTGGCTGGCGACAGCTTTATAGCACTGACACTTTAACCCCTGAACCACCAGGTAGGCCCCCCTCAAATGATCTTTATTAAAACATTGTACTTGGGCCTCCCTGGTGGCCTACAGGTTAACTCAGCGCCATCACCTCTATGGACTGAGTTCAATCCTCTTCCAGGGAGCTGACCCACAGGGTGCGGCAGACCTCTCCCCCTGCAGCTCCCCTCAGCAGTGTATTTCAGTGAATCTGCCTGTTGTGCTCCCTACTCTAACTCTGGTGAGTCCTCTGTGATACCTCAGCTCTTACACGCACGCGCGCACACACACACACACACACACACACACACACACACACAGTACTTGGGGGCGGGGGAGGGGGCCCTGTCCCTTAAGAGGGTAAGGTTGAAAACTAAAACCAGAAGGTAAAGTAGTACCTAATCATGTTGATACCACACAGGGCTGTTTTAAATGCTGACCATAAGGCAAATGTTATTATTTCAACTTCACACGAGAGGAAATGGAAAATTAAGGTGGTGGAGTATTTTGCCCAAGTTCACAAGCACTTCACTTAGTAATTAATCAAAAGACTTTTGTGTCCCAGTCTTTAAGATGCCAAAGACGGCACTGAGTTTATTTCTCCAACAGACAAAGCAACGCGAAGAACACTACAGGACAGACCAAAATCACACCCGGACCTGCATCCAGGAGCTGCAATCTAACGATACACACCAAAGCCATTTAACAGCACAGCAGCATTAATCACGGAAAAATATAAACAAGCTACATTATAGCCCAAAGCATAATTTATTGTAGGTATACCGGAAGTACACATTTACCTGCACTCCTCCAGATCCTGCAGTTGCTGCATTAGTCTATCCAACTGTTCTTCTAAATTCTGCTTTAATTTGCTTGTTTCTGTCTTTCCTCTGGAAGCCATTTTAGTCTCTAAGTAGAACAAGCCACACACGCAGTACCTATTTGGATCATTTGAAACGAGTCAACATGTCAGTGCAATTTAAAATAAGCTACATATACTCTTTCTGAACTACAGTGGGGAAAGATTATGCAAAGAAATCTCAATTTAGACATAAAAGTTGAAACTTACAAAATCGTAACACCTCTCAAAAATGCCTAGCAATCTTCTTTAAATTTAATTGGAAATTTTCACTACTCTTTTTTTTTTTTTAAAGATTTATTTATTTGTGCATACAGAACTGGGGTACAGGCCAGAGGCTCAGGGGCGGTGAGAGGCTTCACCAGAGACAGAGTGGGGAACAGAACAGGCAGATCGACGAAGTACACTGCTGAGGGGAGTAGCGGGCGGGTCAGTAGAGGTCTGTCACACCATGTGGTCACCTCCAGGGCAGGTGGGAATCGAACTCATGCGGAAGCAGCTTTAGATCCTCAAAATTCTCAATGCTGTGCTTTAACTCACTGCGCCACCAGGGAGGGCCCCGCCTTTTTTTTTTTTTTTTTTTAGTAAAATTGATAAAAATACAGGTTTATGAAACTAGGTGAGGTGTGACTTTGCTTTACAAAAAAATTCATTTTAAGATTCTTTTTTATTTTTGTTAATTATGTACGAGGACAATCCTAGTATTATCTTGTTGGTCTTATCATTTACTTATTGACTTCTGGGCATGAACATCTTTGGATAGGAATATTTTCTTAGGAAATGTGCCTATTTTTCTACTGAATTATCTTCCTTTTACTGATTTATACAGCAAGGCTATGAAAACTTTGTAATTATGTTGCAAATATCATCTTTTATCCTGACTTTAAATTTATGACGTTTTTGTCTCAATAGATTATTTACAGACTATTATTTTTCATGGTCAGACCTATCTTCTCCTTTAAGTCTTCTAGGTTTTGTTTCTCTTGAAGGCAGGTCCCAAACATCTCAAGATTGAAAAAAAAATTAGACTTTTATTAGACTTTTACAGATTAAAAAAAAAAATTAGCTCTTTAAGTCACCTACAACTTTTTTGGTTGATTCTATGAAGCTGGGGGTCTAGCTTGCATTTTCTTTCACATAAACAGTCAATTGCCTCACAAGGTTTATCGGTATTTATTTATGTCACCTTTATTGTAAACCCAGGTTCACGTCTGTCTCCCTGACTAAATTCTGGTCTGAAGGCATTACCTCACATTTTAATTATTATATCTCCAGAGCTGGTATATATTAGTAACTGATATGAAACTGCCTTTATAATTGTGGGATTTTAATTTTTTCATAATTATTGCCTATTCCTATTTTCTCTTCTAGTTGAATTTACAAATCGTTTGTAACATTTCATTAATAGTCCAATTAAAAATTTGGTGGCCCGACGGGTTAGGCCGCAGCACTGTAAGCCGGCCTCAGCCTTCGCTGAGTTCCATCCCCAGCAGCCCCGGAGGTGACCCACATGGCACAGCAGACCTCTCCTGACCCGCCCGCTGCTCCCCTCGGCAGTGTACTTTGTCCATCTGCCGGTTCTGCTCCCCACTCTGTCTCTGATGAATCCTTTCACCACTCCTGCACCTCTGGCCTGTACCTCAGTTCTGTACAAATAAATCTTTAAAAAAAAAAAAAAAAAAAAGCTGATGTACAGTGAGATTTAACCCCCAAAGAGTAACTCGTTGGCACCACCTAGTATTCAGTAAAAGAGGTGCATCTTTTCTGAAACTAGAAAAAGCTCTGAAAAACTGATCTGCCGCGGAAGGTCTTATTCACACTCACCTGTCTCTCAGTTCTCTGCACCTCCAGCTCTTGAGATTCCAAATGTCATAAAATTGACGAAGACGAAACTGATCATCAGGACAAGGGGTTTAAAGTGTAAACCACCGGGAGGTGGGACTGGGCTGGCTGGTAAAAGGGAAACCACAAGCAGTTTTACTTCCTATTGTAATTTGCCTGCAGCAGTCCAGGTAACTTCACTCAGAGCAACTGCGGTGTCAGAGGAAAACCCCGCACCCGGACGCTCCTTGGGGCAAGCTGTCGAACCCAGAATTACGGAAAAGGGCGGAGAGCACACCTTTTCCCGGCTGGTAAGGGGCACCAGCGTCTGGACCTCAAGCCGCCGCCGGGGTAAGGAAACGCCAGGACCCAACCCTGACTTCAACTCCAGGGGCTCCCGCACTTGGGTCCCGCAGGGTCAGGAGGCTCCAATAGGCCCCGGCGGCCGCCAGAGGTCGCCGCGAACCGCCGGCCCCGAAACGCCTTCCCGCCCCCACCCCCCAACCAGATCCTGGACAAGCCCCCCAGGCTCCGAAGTCCCCTCTCTCCCTCCGCCCCGCCGGGCAGTCCCAGAATTGGGAGCCAGGGGCCCCGCCTACCTAAAAGCCCTGGTCCGCGGACACACGCAGGTGGAGCACTTCCGTCGGCACGCACTTCCGGCCTCCTGGCCAATGAGAGTGCGGCTCCGGTGCGCACCACGCTGGAGTCCGGGCTGTTGGTTGTCCCCGGAGCTTTTGGACCGCTCAGCTCTGAGGACGTGGAAAGTAAGCCCCGCACCCGAGCCTCTGAAAACCCACCTTAAGGGAGTTGACCCAAGACCCATTTTAGTGTCTGGCGTAGGAGAGTCCGAGATGTTGAGGTCTTGAGGGACAAAGAGTGGTCACCGAGGCGAGGTCGTATTCATGTGGGGCAAGGAGTCTTGTCCTTTCTGTCGTTCTTTCTGTGAAACCAAACCCCTTGGGAAATTTGCCTCTGGCCTTTGGGGCAGGTAGAATCACCCTGGTGATGTCTTGGGGTCTGTCACTCTTGAGCGTGGCCGAGTTGGTTGGGAACAGAGGAGGAAGACCTCCATCCCGAATGACTTTTTTTTTTTCTTTGAAATTATTTCTACATCTTGAAAAGACCAGATCCAGTGTCCTGGGGGGCATTTACATTCATGCCCCATGGGAAGGAGACAGCTAGTGGTTGGCCAGCTCTTTAAAAGTTACTTAGAAATTGTGGGGAAGCCCTTTTCTGGTCTATCCAGCCTATCTCCCTGAAGAATTCATATGACAACAGTAGGGTTTAGGGTAATCTTATTTCAGAATTGTTGTCTTTAAAGTTAATTCTATTTTGACTGCCCAGGACAAATGTTCAACTAAGATACTGTAAAGCTCCAGCAGAATGAATTATTTCTGTCAATTCCAGCTGATCATAGAATTTCCTTTCTTGTTACCGTAAATTGTTTTTCAGAGTTACAGTTTGGATGTGAAACTGTTCTAGCCCAGTTTTGAGAAGACTGTAGAAATCCAAGTTGGTTCCAATGGCCTACCTTGTAAAACTCTTCAGAGCCACAGATTCTATTTTGTAAAAGTAAGTGATTTATGTTGATGCAGTTATCTCTAGTTTTGCTTTGTGGCTGTATGTGTAAGTGTTGATACTTCAAATAGTGTAACAGGTAGTTAGGATCAGTGCTAAACAAAACAATATTGAAAACTATACTTCTTTCAGCATTTGAGGAGCTTGCTTGCTAAATTTGGGACAAGTCAATTCTAATGCGGAATGGGAGGTGGGAGCATGCAGGTTGCTCCAAACAGCTTGAGAAAATGCTGGGGCAGATGAAACTTGGGTGATTAACACAAAGCCAAACTCTTTGACCATGTGAACTTCTTTTAAATATCTACAGATGGTAACTTGTATCATTGTGAGCCTTGTGTAATGGTTAAAAGTGTGAATTTTAGAGCCAGCGATGTTATACTGTAAGATCTTTTATATATATATATATTTATTTACATTTGTTTATACATATAAGAACTGAAGTGTAGGCCAGAGGTGTGTAGGGGGTGGGGTGGGGTTTGAGAGGATTCCCCAGAGACAAAGTGGGGCGCAGAACAGGAGAATTACTGAAATCCACTGCAGAGGGGAGCAGCGGGGAGACGGGAGAGGTCTGCTGTACCTTGTGGGTCACTCCTTGGCTGAGGATCAAACTCATAGGTATCAAATTCATGAATGCAAGCCTCAGTGGCTAGTGATAGCTTGACAGTGCTGAGATCTTAACCCCTGTGCCCCCAGGGACACCTGTAACTGTGAAATCTTGAGCAAGTTTAGCGGCATTTGTTAAAAAGGAGGTGAGAGGAGGGATAAGAGTAGTCTCTAGTTTTTTGGGGGCATCGTAGTTATTAATGACTGCCCAGCATGTTGCTTAAGAAAATTTCAATGAATGTTACTGTCGTCATCATTATAGTTAAACAACCATAATTGGATCTGTTTTTATGAGGACCAGGCCCTTTCAAAGTGAATGAGGTAATCTATTTTCATTTGATCAATGAATACACAAAATAAAATAAGGATTCCATAGCAAGAAGCCTAAAGTTTTCTGCCCCTCTGTTGTCAATATCAAACCCCATCTCATCCTCAAGCAAACACTGATCTGCCTCTTTTGTGACAGATCAAATGACCTGTTCTAGAATTTCATAACTGGAATTGTGCCGTGTGTATTTGTGTGTGTGTGGCTCTTTTCACCCAAAATAATGGCCGTGAGATTTATCTATGCTGTTTGTGTCAGTGGCAACTTTTTATTGCTCCGTAGTGTTCTGTCAGATCACTTTACTACTCCGCTTATTCACTCGCCCCTTAACATTTGCCTTGTTTTATTTATCCCGTTTTGTGGCTAGTATGTGTAAAGCCAAACCACACAGTTCTTTCAGCAGACATACGTTTTTATTTCTCCCATTATTTTCATATTTCACATTTACATGAGTGGAAACTGCACTCTGGTAGGTGTTAAGTCTGTGTGGAGCCCAGCCTGAGTGACTTTACTTGGGCTTGTTTTCCCTTTTTAATAGAAATTTTTTAAAAAGATTTATTTATTTATGCTCACAGGCCAGAGGTACGGGGGCAGTGAGAGGCTTCACCAGAGACAGAGTGGGAAGCAGAACAGGCAGATCGACAAAGCACACTGCTGAGAGGAGCAGTGGGCTGGTCAGGAGAGGTCTGCTGTGCCCTGTGGGTCACCTCCGGGTTGGGGATCAAACTCATGCTGAAGTGGCTTTAGCTTCTCAGTGCTGTGCTTTAACATACTGCACCACCAGGGAGGGCCCATTAACAGGAATTTTTAACTTTAGTGAGCTATCCCTAAAGTCCAGGCCCCAGAGGGAAACCCCTAAGACAAAGCATCCTCCCAATTTAGTTGCTCAATAAATGTTCCTTACACTCTGAGTAAATGTGGATTATATCTGAGAATGTTGTGAGTTCTCAAGGGAGTATTGCCGATAGTGAGTGTCTAAATTATGAGGGAACTGAAATACAGCACTGTATTAGAATTTATAACGTTCCCCTATTATCAGAAAGAGCATAACTTATATTTCATAAAATAGTCATAGCACAAAATAAATGGTTAAGTTAGTGCTGGTGAAACCAGATTTGGTTTTGGAAGAAATATGATAAAATCATTCAAATTTAGTTTCATGGTTTATGGATCCATGAAAACACTGCTACAGACTATGTTTACAAATTAAGAAACATCATTTTTAAAAGGAAATATAATTTCATTTTTAAAGAATGTATTTTAAGACATTGCATTAATTACAAGATACAAAATAGCCAGCAGCCTTGGTTTTAAGCAGCAGTCTCTTGTATTTAGAAATAATTAATTAAAAATTTCCAAATAGTGAAAAGTGGTTAGAGTTTGGATATGTTTTGAAGGTGGAGCCAAGATGATTTTCTGATGGGGTTTCTATAAAAAAAAAATAAAGAAAGAAAGGCGTTAAGGATGATATGAGGTAGTTGACCTCAACATTTTGAAGAATAGAGCTGTATCAGATTATGTATTCAGGGAGATCAGATTTGAGGGGCAAAAAAAAATTCTGATAGAAATACTACCTAAGGTAAGCTGACACTTAACCTAACTGCTTAATATTCGGTTGATGAGGTCTAGAAGGTAAAAGGCTCTGGCTGTGGGTTTTTTTTGTTTGTTTGTTTGGTATATGCGTGTGTGTTTTGCATAGAAGAACTGGGGTACGAGTCAGTGCCGGGGATGAGAGGATTTATCCGAGACAGAGTGAGGAGCAGAACAGGCGGATCCACTAACACCCACTGCTGAGGGGAGCAGCTCCCATTTAAAAGACCTTAGTCCACATATACACAAAAAATGAACAGATAAAAAATATAAAGTGGGTCAGATAGCTGTTTTCTCTAGACAGCAGCTGACTGTCATGAGGCAAAGCTTGTTTAACCCGGTGAAGGAGATGGTGTTGGCGTTCACTGTAAAATTTCCCACTGCGTGCTCAAAGAAGCACTAATTCACTTTGCTCAAGTTTGCCATCTGAATCAGTCTTCTTCTGTGAAACTAGGTGTTCATGGCTAAGAATTTTATTTCCATCTGTCTTACCTACAAAGCAACTGTCCCACTAATGCTACAAATGCTACTTGATTGAAACAAAAAAGGAGATCCAGAAAGTCGGGTAATGGTCTGGAAGGTAATTAACAGGAGGCCTTTATTTGGGGTGAGTTTGTTTGTGGTTGCAAGTTGGTTTTGGTTGGACTCTTCATTTTATCTACTCTCAGTGCTTGCTGCGAACAGCCTTCTTCCAAATGGTTGGCTTAGATGTGCTTCCTGTTGTTGGAACTGATGTCCAGCTGCCCTTTTCAGGCAGGGGTCACGGAGCAGACAGCGGTGTGCGGCCGTAGCAGTCAGGTGACAGTGCTCCTGGGACACTTGCCGAAGACATAGATCAGGCAGGACACCAACGGGGTGACTCGGATGCCGACTTCAGGTTGTCGCTTGGGCATCAGGCCTTGGGCAGACGCTGGCCAGCCAAATCAGCCCCTGGCCTGAGAAGAACACTGCAGGAGAGAAAGTGAGTGCTGGTTACAGGAAGTGGCAGTAAGGGAGAAGGCCAGCTTTAACCCCCCGCCACCCGCTGGCTTGCTGTGCGTAGGCCTCAGCAGCGCGGAGCTCTTGCTGGGAAAGGATCCTGGGCTTCCCTGCAGGTTAGTGCTCCTCGCTGGGCGGCCACTGCCCTGGAAGGCTGGGACCCTTGAGCCAGGACAGGAGGTGCGGAAGCTTTTCCTTACCTGTGGACACCACGCTGCTCACTGACAGCAGCACAGACAGGTGGTACAGTTCAGGGGTCGTTTTTTCCTGTGTTTGGGAATAAAAAGCACCATGAGGAAAACTTGCCTTTTAAATGGAACACGTGCTCACTGCGTGCTTTTGCCTCACGGGTTTATATAAAAGTACGAACTTCGCGAGGCGTCGGAGACTTGCTGCTTAATGTGCCACCCCAGTGGTGCCACTGTAACGGGTTTAGTTTGTTCTTTAGTTTTTGTAAACTGGGGATTCAACCCATGTGGGAAAAATCGTCTCGTGGAATTTTTTTTTCAGTTCCCTGTTTAACGGTGACCTGCGTCTAATTAGCAATCCTGTTTCTATATAGCTCAATTATTAGTGAAAATAGAAAATAAATAACGAAGACGAATGGCATTTGACATAGGGCCGAGCTTTCGGATTAAGGTAAGCCGTTAGAAATGTAGGGTGTACCTACGCAGTCTCTTGCCAGAAGGGTGAGCGTGGTGGTGCAGACTCCTTGACCGAAGGATCCCACACCAAATACGGAAAACAGCCCCTTCAGCGCCCGAGGGGCGGGCCTCGCGCGGGTCAGCAGTACGGCAAAAGCTGAGGGGACAGCAGGCAGCTTCAGTGCATGGGGTCAGTCAGCTCAGGCCCATCCCGAATGCAGGCCTGTGAGGTACGTGTCCTCGGAGTGGGTGACAAAGCAAAATATACACTAGTGGGTGTGAGTAACTGGAAGAGCAAGATCAGCTCTGGCCTGTACCCCAGGTCTTGTGTGCATAAATACGTAAATTAAAAAAAAATACCCTGGGCCCTCCCTGGTGGCGCAGCGGGTTAAAGCACAGCACTGAGAAGCTAAAGCCACTTCCGCATGGGTTCGATTCCCGCCTGCCCCGGAGGAGTCCACATGGCGCGGCAGACCTCTCCTGACCTGCCCGCTGCTCCCCTCAGCAGTGTACTTCATCGATCTGCCTGTTCTGTTCCCCACTCTGTCTCTGGTGAAGCCTCTCGCCACCCCTAAGCCTCTGGCCTGTACCTCAGTTCTGTATGCACAAATAAATAAATCTTAAAAAAAAAATACCAACACAAAATATTTGCATTTAACTCAGCTTGGTTTCATATTCAAACTGTTTTGTTTGTCTGTTTTTAAGATTTACTTATTTATGCATACAAGCCAGAGGTGCAGGGGGTGAGAAGATTCCCCAGAGACAGAGTGGGGAGCAGAACAGGCAGATGTACTGAAATACACTGCTGAGGGGAGCAGCGGGGGGACAGGAGAGGTCGCCTGTGCCCTGTGGGTCCGTCCCTGGCCAGGGAGCGCACTCAGGCCACAGAGGCTGCGGACCTGGTGCTGCACTTTAACGCATTGTGCCACCAGGGAGGGCCCACTGAAGAACCGTTTCAACGTTTTATTCCCCCGAATTGGGGATGTGAACTCTTCCCTAAGTGTCAGCGGCAAGCCTGTCTTCCACTTTTGGTCACCACGAGTGGTGGACCCGCACCAGTGTGGACCCTCACCAATTGTGAAGCAGGTAAAGGCGATGTTCCCAACCAGGTTGTTGAGGAGAGGTTGACTGCAGTATCGAGAAGATCTGGGCCTAAGAATCAATGCACAGGGTCTTGTTTTCATTACCCAGTAGAAGAATCTGCATGATAAGCACCACCCAGGGGGCACGAACCTTGACCTCAGACCCTAATTCTGGCCCCGGCTTCATTTGGCCGCAGCTGCTGCTCCTTGAACCCTGGTTCCTTTACCAAGACTACAAATGAAGGCTGGGAGGCGCCCGTAGTGAGATTAAGGGCGATTAAGGTTCGTAACCGGCAGTCAGATAATATTGACTGTTTGTCTAATTCATGTGATTTTGACGTTTTGAGGATAAAGTATTTCGTGGCCGTCAGCCTCCTAGAGTCAGGATGAGCTGTGCTCAGCCCGGCTTCCCAGGAGCAGCCGCAGCTTTCAGTCAGGCCAATCAGAGAGGACGCTGCAGTTTCTACTCCTTCCCCACACGGGAGCGCACTCTTGGTTTTTGTGTGTTTTGAGAATTTCCGCCTTCTTGGAACGGCAGTTTTTTATGGCTGTGTCATATTGCTTTGCTGCACGTGCTCAAGGCCAAGCTATTAACTGGCTGACTTTGTCTGCCAAGACTGGTCCCTCGGAAAAGCTGGAGTGACTGGAGGAGTCTTGCTCCTGTTGGGCGCCTGTGCTGCCCGTGGGCCTGCAGGTGTGAGCTGGGGCTGGCTCTTGAGACCCGCCTCTGGGGGTGCGGACATTCAGACAGTAGTGTCCTCACGGGCTCCCAGCTAATGACTTCTTGGGCTAGAAGTATGTCAGTTAAAAGTTAAATCAGTGTGGCCAAATCCCAGCTAACCTCACAGCACCGAGAGTTTGACTTTTTTCAAGGTGTGAAACAGGTGAGTCCCGTCTGGTAACAGGGCAGAAGCAGTGGCACAGACTGGGTTAAACGGGTAACAGGACAGCAGGGAGCTCCCGAACTGTCCCCGCAGGTAAGGCGCGTGCTAAGCTGCCAGGTGGCCCGGGGAGGGGGAACACACTGGTACGTGAGCTTACCTCAGCAGCACATAGAGCTGAACCCCCAGAATGGCGGCCCCAAGCGAGAACACTGTCACCTGGCTGTAGGGGACACAATAAGGAACCTTTCATGTGACCAGATAGTGGTAAATGGTCTCACAAAAACCAAATCAGGCTCTGTCACGACCTTGTGCCCTTCAACCACTGAGAGAAAGTTTTCAACACAGCGGAGACGACATGTGAGCCATGCCAGGAGAGCAAACGCATCCGCTAACACCGCACTGAGGGCGCAGCCAGCTTCCCCAGGCGCCTGCTCAGGGCAGGCGCCGCTGATGCTGGTCTCCAAGGAACCTTCAGGCGCGCACTTCTCTACACGGCTGTCAATTAACACTGTGAGACAACCCTCCAGGAATAGAAGAGTTAGTCATAATTAGTAGGCGAGTGTGTAGAGCATTTTTAATTCACTTCCTCATTAAAGATACACAAAAATCCTATGAGGTAAGGACTTTGGCTTCCCACGTTATACATGAGAAAATCACACTCCAAAAGTTGATGTGCCTCATCCAAGGACGAACTCCTGGTAGAGAGTGGTAGAGCCTGACCCTCGCCGGGCCCCTAACCGTTCTTCCAGGCGGCACCAGCTTTGCCTCCAGCCGGACGGTCCAGGCCAAGGGCGGCCTCCCCGCCACAGCTCACAGACAGGTCTGCGGTCCCTGCTCAGACATTCTGAGGCCACTCTCGAGGTTCCATGCACAGTTTCCCTGCAGACGAGAAAATCCTCGTGGAGTGGTAGTTGACTCTGTCTTTACATAAGCTGTGTTACTCACCTGAATTGTTCTGCGAATTGGGGTTAGTGCTCAATGACTGTAGGGCATTTATAGAAGTCAGTCTACCCTCCAAAGACAAAGCCTTGTCCCCAGCGAAGGTGCTGAGAAAAATGGGCAAGTTCAAATTCCACTCCCAGATTGACAGCGGCGGCACACGGTTAGAACAAGAATACAGTGACATGCTGAACATTATAATTCTGAAAGGAGCAGCACCTCTTGTGAGGTGTAAACTCTGAGTGGTTGTCTCAAGTCAAGCACGTTACCTAACAGCCGGCCCACATAGGCGTCCTTACTGTGAGCATCCTGCAATGTGGCAAGGAAAGCCAGGCAGTTACTACCCGTTTTTAAAAAGTTAATGTTTGGAAACTGGCCTCATGTGCATGAAGCGTTTCATTAGTGTTTACACATCAGTGTCTTTCAATGTTGAGGCAGTCAGTGTCTATAAAATTGAGAGTACTTTAGCAAAAGTTCAAGGCCACCTGAAGAAGAAAGGACTTGTCACGGTGGGCTGGGGGTGGATGGGCACTTACAGCCTGAGCCGGTGAGAGCTGGGCAGCCAGCACTGCAGGCGGTAGGCAGAGTGGGCCAGACAGAAGTGGATCATGCCGACCTGGTCCTGGCACCTGGGGCCAGCGAGCGAGAGCCAGACAGTCCTGTCAGAGCTCCCAGACTCTCACCCCTGCATCCCTGCTGCCCCCACGCCCCCAGACTCACCCCTGCATCCCCGCTGCTCCCTGAGCCCCCAGACTCACCCCTGCATCCCCGCTGCCCCCTGAGTCCCCAGACTCACCCCTGCATCCCTGCTGCCCCCTTCCCCACACACCTGTGTCCTGCAGGCAGGGACAGGCGGGACTCCCCTGGAGCAGACAGCCCTGGCTGGGGTAGGAACCTGCTGTAACTTAATTCTTCGTGGCTTGGAGGGGTCAGAGTCAACTGTAAGATCAAGTTGGCTGTGTTCATGGGGTTAAGAGTACTGAGCTCTTGGATATTTGAGACAGCCCATGAGTGTGACAAAGGAGAAAGACATCTTTCTTCAAACTGGAGATCAGCTTCCCCAGTCCTTGCCCAGAGCAGGACCTGTGGAAACCTGAGCTTATTCCCAAGGGGGGTGGGACTCCCCATCTTAGTTTCATCCTTTGTGAAGGGCAAGGTCCCTGGAGGGCCTGCCCTCACACACCCTCGCACCCCCCAAATCCCAGGGCAAGCTCTCTTGGGAATGGTGCCTGAAACCTGAGTTGGGCAGCTCTGGACAACACCAGGCTCCCATGAACTCGGCCCCGCCAGCAGGCCTTGAGAGCACGCTCAGTGGCTGGCAGGAAACCAGTTTCCCCATGGATTCAGGATATGGTGGGGATTCTGCATCCCCCAAGCCATGAGGTTACTTTGCATAGGAATGGGGGGGGGTTGGAATGAACCCCTGGCATCATCCTTGAGATGAAAATTGAAAGGTGGGATGAGTAAATCATTCTTTTTTCTGAAAAGATTTTACTTGTATTTATTTATGCAGACAAGAACTGGGGTACAGGCCAGAAGTGTGGGAGTGGTGAGAGAATTCCCCAGAGACAAGAGTAGGGAGCAGAACAGGTAGATGTACTGAGGGCAGCAGCGGGGAGACAGGAGAGGTCTGCCGCGCCCTGGGGGTCACCCCTGGCCGGGGATGGAGCTCCTACCACAGGGGTGGCAGTTCTGAGATTTTACCTCTAGGCCACCAGGGAGGCCCTGAACTGTCTTTTTCTTTTGTAGACAAGGGAGGTGTCAGAACTTTCTGTTTGGATCAACTACTTCAAGTTCTTGGCATGGAAAATTCAGCAAAAACAGAAGTGGTTCTCCTTGCCTGCGGCTCCTTCAACCCGATTACCAACATGCACCTCAGGTTGTTTGAGCTCGCGAAGGACTACATGAATGGGACAGGTAGGAGCAGTAACCAGAGACAGGATGGGGCCTGAAACACACTCCTTAAAATGCAGCCCATTGGGCTGTCTTGGGCTGAGGGAACTTGAGATCGTGGCAGAAGCAGGAAGGTTACTCCTGCCCCTTCTGCCCCCAAGCAGTTCCTGAAAGGAAGGCCCATCCTCCCTCCGGAGAGCCCTTTATACCTGGAGGGAAGCCCTCCTTCCTCTGGAGACCCCCCTGTACCTGGAGGGAAGGCCCTTCTCCCTCTAGGGACCCCCCTGTACCTGGAGGGAAGGCCCTTCTCCCTCTAGGGACCCCCGTATCTGGAGGGAAGGCCTGTCCTCCCTCTGGGGATCCCCCTGTACCTGGAGGGAAGGTGTGTCCTCCCTCTGGAGACCCCCCTGTACCTGGAGGGAAGGCCCTTCCTTCTGGAGACAAAGGGAAGCTGAGCAGACCCTAGCAGGCCTCGAGAGCCCCCTCTCCTGCAAACCTAGTCTAGAAATACCCAGGCTTAACTCTTTCCTCTGCTCTGCGTTTCTTGGTTGAGGGCCCCATGTCACATAAACCTCCCGTTACACAAGCCTGTAGGCTTTTCTCTGGTTTATCTGTCCTTGTCAGTTTAATTTTCAGATCCGACCAGGGACCCTAGGACGGTCAGTGAACACGTTTCCTCTCCTACACGCACAGTTGTATCTTGTTTGCTTACACAAGTGACCGAGTTGTAGCTGGTAGGCCCATGGGTGCCCACGCACAGATAATCCTCCGAGGCGGTGCCCGTCAGGCAGTTTGGCCCATCACGTTGGCAGAAAGCTTAAAGCTGGCAGATATCAGAGGTTGGGGAGAGCTGGGCCCTCTGAGCATGTGGGGGACAGTAGACTGGTGAGGTTCTGCCCAGGGAATCGTGGGCTGGGGGCAGCGTGTCTGGGCGTTGCTTCCGAGTTCTGGTGGGGAGAAGGGCTCTGGGGGGTGGGGCCGGCTCGGGGCTCCCAGCACCCAGCTCGGGGCGTGTGACGCGTGCTTTACCACAGTTGAAAGGCAGAGCCTCCGAGTTTATTAAACCAGAGGGACCATTCGGTTTCCTGTGCAGAAATTAATTTATTATCAAATCGAACTCTGTCCAGGGAAATACAGAGTCATCAAAGGCATCATTTCTCCAGTCAGTGACGCCTACAAGAAGAAAGGACTCATCTCAGCACGTCACCGAGTCATCATGGCAGAACTCGCCACCAAGAGCTCGACCTGGGTGGAAGTGGACACGTGGGAGAGTCTTCAGAAGGAGTGGACGGAGACGGCCAAAGTGCTCAGGTGCTGAGCCGAGCGCGGGCGGCCGCGGGACCTGGGCGTCCCTGAGCCGCATCCTCATTGGGTTTCGAGTCGTTGGCCGCTCGGTCAGCACTGTCTGTCCTGTTAGCGAGCAGGGGCTGGGCTGCCTGAGTCCTAGGAGGTGTCACTGCCCCCTCCTCTGGGGCGTGGAGGAGGGGGCGGAAGTTAAGGAGCAGAGGGTGCGTCAGTTTGGGACGCTTCGCCTCTCTGCTCAGACCTTTGACGGTTCCAGTTGGGAGCTCAGAACCCAGAGTGAGAAAAGCTAGTCACCACTTCATATTACCTGGACTGTCAAATAGAAGGGCCTCTGCGACAGATCCGGCCTCGCACCCCCCCGAGCCCTGGCCCGGGGTTTGCCCCTGGCAGCTAGGCTTCCTGGGAAGTGGGGGCCCCTCTGAGCTCCCAAGGGGAACGGGGCGGACGTGGGGCTCATCTCAGGGCCTTACCCCCTCGGTCCTGGGGTCAGGAGGCTGCCCGCGCCCACTGGCTGTGCTGCCACTCGCTCAGTCCCCACAGGTGACCGGATGTGGACTGCAGAGCAGGGCCCCCACGCCCCAGAGCTACTTGTCATGCCCCTGGCTGCAGGAATGGGGCTCTGCCTCCCGCCCAGCCTGCAAGGCTGAGCTCATCACCAGAACTGCAGCCACACCCAGAACCTGCTGCCAGGCCCTCTGGTGCTGGGCTGGGGGCCGGGTCCTGCGCCGGAGAGTGAGTTCCCTACGCAGCCTCTACTCTGGAGCGTGACTTTGAGGTGTGGCCAGGCGGGGGCCTCTCCTGGGCATGGGCAGATTTCCCCTCGGACACCAGGCTCCCGGGCCCTGCCAGACCAGGCACCACGGGAGCCCTGCATCTCACACTCCCCGTGGCTGTCTGAGCGGGAGGGGCTTGGGCACGGAGGACATCAGTGGCTTCCGCAGGGCCGCTCGTGGTGTTGGGTAACTTTGTGGTAAAGCAGCGGGCGCCCTGCCAGCCCAGACAGCCAGATACGCGCCCTGCGGTGGGCCCTCACCCGGTCTTGGGCACTTCCTCCTGCCGCCCAGCCCGTCCTCTTCCGGGGCGGTGGTCTCGCTTGCTGGCCCCTCAGCGGTCAGCGTGCAGGCTCAGGAGCCGGGCTCTTGTTGCTGAGCGGGCGTGGCAGGGGGGTTTCTTGGGCCGAGGGGCTGAGGGGTAGTCACCGGCACAGCCGAGGTTAACAGCGCAGAGTTTATAGTAGAGACTCCCGGCAGCAGGAGGGGCCCCAGGCAGGATCCGGGTTAGGGTGCTGGGTTCCTTTTTAATGGGGCTCTGGGCGCTCTCCACCCCTCACAAAACCTCGGGGCCTTTTTCCTTCTCGGGGTGCTTTCCCACTGCCCCCTGCTCCCCACCGCCCCCTTCTCACCTAGAGGTGTGAGGCTACCACAGCGCTCTCCTTCCGCCCTCCTGCCTGGTCACCAGCTCAGGCCCGCTCTGGGGCTCCCAGCTTTGCCCAAGCCCCGCTCCTTCACTCTGGGGTTCAAACCCTGACCTGCCGCGCTCTCTCCAAGTGGCCTTGGGCTATCCGTTCACGCTCTGCAGCTCACAAACTTCTGATTCACAGATGGCAGTAACACGGGCGCTTTATGATGGTGGAAGGATTGGTCCTGTTGGCTTGTGACAGGTGCTCCCAGGGACGCTGCTGGACTGGCGTCTCAGCCCTCCCTTTCCATCATAGGCTTGGTGATATTTGTGACCCCGATGTTCAATTTTAGTCTGATAATCTTGGCACAGGGTGGGCATAGTGTTGGACCCCTAGTGACTGCCTGCAGTGGTGACACAGACACCCGCAGCTTAGACCAGGAGCACCCACATCCCGAGAGCCCGCAGCCAGCACTGCCGCCGGCCAGCCGGCCGCTCCTGACTTGCATTGCCTCGGACGGCCATGGCTGTGGTGCCTGCAGTCCCGAGGCCTTGGTGTCCCCCAGCCTCTGAGACCATGCCAGACGCTCCGAGGCCTTGCCCGGACAGCGTTTGAGTGGAGTGCAGTGAGAAGGATGCTCTGTGGCTTTGTCGTTTTGTAGACACCATCAAGAGAAACTGGAGGCCAGTAATGGTGGTCACCAGCACAACTCACCTGTGCTGGAGAGGCCTGGACGGAAGAGGAAATGGACTGAACAGAGACAAGAATTGAGCCAAAAGAAACCCCTCGAGCCCCAAACGAAAGGTCTGTATGTTTGATAGGAGCTCACTGGTAAACTGGAGTTGAGTGAACAACCAGAGCTGATAAGATGCTAGAGGAGCGAACCGGCTCCCAGCCAGCCGTGGGTGGCCTTGCG